TTAAGAAAGCATCTTTTTTCACATCAACTAAGTGTATTTTTAAACTCATTATTCTCACTTAATGAAAAGTTGATCAGACTGTTTCAATTGAGATATATATTAAAATCTTTTGAAAAGTTGATCAGACTGTTTTAATTAAGAGATTTCTAAGTCTGTTTTCAATTGAAAAGTTGATTAGACTGTTTCAAAAGAAGAATAAAAGACTTTTATATGTAAAATATCTAATTTTTTTTCACACTAGTTCAGTAACTAGATTAGATTTTTAAAGAGAATCTAATAAACTAAAATTGATTTTTAAGATAAATTAATAAAATCTTTATAATCTCTTTCTTAAGATACAGTGAGAAAAAGTATGATATTAATTAATAATAAATCAGATAATATGACAGTTTTTGAGAGAAAAACTGATAAAAAATAAATCAATTTTTTGTAGAGAAATTGATTAAAACTATTCAATTTTATTCTAAATTATTCAATTCTTCTGACATAACAAGTGTGCAACTCAAATCAGTTAATAAAGAGTATAAAAAAGAATTAAGTATTAATGAAAGCTCTTCAGTTACTGAAAAAGTAATTCTTACTTAAAAGAATATGAAATTATGATAGAAAACAGCTCTGTTTTTAATTCTTTGTAAGAATATTATATAAAACTTAGAGAAAAATATCTTACTTTTTTAAGAGAAGTAAAAAACTATTTCTAAGATCTTTTTTTTTACATTAACTGCTGCAGAAGAATGAGATAGAAACTGCTAAGACATGTACTACTATATACTCTTTATCAAGACTTTCTCTCTTCAGAGTCTTGATATTATAGAGAATATAAGTCTGTTTCTATATAATAATATAAATATTATCAGTGAGATGTAGAGGAACTGATTATTTATATCTTAAAATAGAAGACTTTGTCAATGATTATATTAATATAGAGTTAATTCTCAAATTCAATAGAAATCTAGTATTGCTGTTCTCAATCTCTTACAGAATCTATTAAATATTGAGATATTAAAACTAGATTTAATATATCTCACTGTGCAGAGATTAAAGACTCAGTCAGATCTTAAGATATACTGATTTTATAGTTGTTGTGTCTGCTGATTATATATTAAATACAGTTACTGAGATATCTTTTTATACTTTTCTGTCAGAGATGAGCCAGATTGAGAGAGGTGATATAAGAGTGAGACTTGATATTGATGTCTAGATACACTGAAGACAGATCACAGAGATTGTACTTCAGAAGTGATTATTGATTATATACTTAATATTATTACTGAGATATCTTTTTGTATTTTTCTGCCAGAAATGAGCCAGATTAGAAAGGGCGATACAAGGGTGAGACTTAGCATTGATGTTTTGAAACATCAAAGATGAACAGGGTTTTTACAGAGATCACTTCTCAGATGTCTTCATAACTACAGATCAGAGATCTTTCAAAATCAAGAAGATTGATGCATATGGCTAGGTCTCTTCACCTTACAATTTATATGGCAATTTGGCCCAGGGTTGTGGTGTGATAGAGGAGAATGAGGGATAATCCCACACAGAAGTTTCAGACAACATCTGGTTCACATTTGGCTGGATAACTCCACCACCACACGGGGTATGCGGTCGGCGATGGGGTCAAAATGCTCATATGATCGAGGGCTTTTCAATGAATCTATCGGCGGGTTCCTATTCGAAAAATCGAGCGAGTTCGTGGTGAAGCGGTTGAATGAGTTCATCTCAATATTTGTGTTAAGTTTTTCATAAATTTCATGACCTGAAATCAGATATGAAGAATAAAGTAATTATTTATTATAATTAAAAGAGAGTATTCTGTATTAAATTGTAAATAACATAGACTTTGTAATTTACAGTGATTTCTTAAAGAGTTTATGAATCTTTAATAGAATTGAAAGAAGTGAAAGAAGTGAATTCAGAAGATATAATAATAATTTAAGAAAGATAATAATTTATTTTCAATAACTGATTACTGATGTGTGTAAGAAGAATTAATATAAGAGAAAATAATCTTATTTCTTAGCTTAGTTATAATTTTAGTACTAACTCAGATTGAATATTATCAATGTATAAAAGTAAATAAATAATCTTGATTAATCTCTATTATATTTCTTGAAATATATTAATATTATAAAAGAGAGTATTATCAAATTATATTATCAGACAATATTATTAAAAATATATTAATATTATAAATATCAATATTGAAAAAATGTTGATACTTATACATTACAGTAATTTATAAATCATGATAGTTAAATATATATATATATATATATTATTTCTGACTTGATTACAACTTGTACAATAATTTTTAAAAACTTAAAATCAATTTTAATTATTAATAATTATGAACTTATAATTAACTAATATAAAAAGAAAAAAACTTTTTCTACTTCTTCTCTTTCTTATTCTTCTTATTATTCTTTATAATTTACTTCTTATTCTTCTTCTTCTTCTTCTTCTTCTTCTTATCTGAAATGATAATTATCTTAAAATCTCTCTTCACTGTCTTCTTAGAGAAGAGTTTCTACTGCTTTCTCTCAGTCAGATTAATCTATATTTTAAAATCTCACATTTTCTACTCTGCTGTCTCAGGTTTCATCTCAGTAGTAAGTAAATTAGCATACTCAGAGAGTAGAACTGTCTTCTCAATGTTCTGAATTATAAAGTATATTTGAGATCTGAATAAGATCTTAATTTTCTTCTTCTCTATCAGCTTCTGCTAATCAATTAGAGAACAGAAGTATTATTAAAAATTATTATCTTTTAATAACTAAAAAACTTATCAGTTTTGACTTCTTTATCTCTTACTTTAATATCTTCTTAATCTTCTTCTACTACTATTTATTTATAGTAATACTCTTCTTCTCTCTCTCTCTCTTTATCTTGAACTTACATTATTCTTAAGACTTCTTCTGATCTTATCACTGCTGTATAAGACTTTTCACTATCTTCTTCTTCAATCTCTCACAGATAGTGTCATTCATATTATTTCTATACTTAGTTCAGTCTAAATCTATCAGAAGTGTTACTTAAAATCATTATTATTCTACTCTTTTATAAAGTCTCTTTAAGATATTATGATATATCTTACAATCTGTCTTCTCTTACTTAAATATCTTCTTCTTCTCTCTCTTCAATCTGTGACAGCACTTACACATCTTGATAATTCACAGAACTGCAGAATATTTGAAGAGAGATAATATAATTAATTTTAGTAAGTATTAAAGAGAAGTAAAGACAGAAGAGATAGCTAGAAATAATATAATAATAATAATAATAGTGATGATGATAATGATAATAATAATGATAATAATAATAATGATAATAGTAGTAATAATAGTAATGATAATAATAATGATAATAATAATAATAATAATAATAATAATAATGATGATAAAAGAAGAAGTACATTGAAATATATTACTGACTTATTAAATATAAAGAGATAAAGAAACTATTAACAGCTTTCAGAGATATACAGAAGCAGCTACAGTATTATATAGTAATATTATCTTCATTTAATATATACAGTGTTAATATTCTTTATATACAGTTATTATATAATTTATATTAGAAATACATGCAGAAAACAGATCTTTATTACTAGAGAGAATAATTACAGTAATTCTCTATTTTTATATTATAAAGATAAGTTATTCTTATTTCTTTCTTCTCTCTTTTCTCTTCTTCTTCAATTCATTACTAAATTCAAGCTGATATGAAAACTATTAAAACACTCTTAGAAATTCTTAAATTAAAGAGTATAAACTAATCAAATTTTAAATATAGAAGAATTAAATTATATTTAATATTACTAATTATTTATCTCTCTTTAATAAAATTATAGTTATATCTTTTTTCTCTTCTCTTAAATAAAATATAATCTGTGAAAAGTAAGTATCACATCAGATTATAATAATTAATACAGTCTCAGTATACAGAACTGTATATACACAGTGTATACTGAACTGAGAGACTGTATGAGTTGTAAACTAGTATCAGTATTTCAGAAAGAGCTGTGTAGTGTGAAAAAGCTGTAACTCTCAGTTATATATATAGAGAGTGAATTATTACAGTAAGTGTATATATATTATATAAAAGTAACACTTTTTAATAATACTCAGTCTCTGATATTATGAAAATAGAGTCTCTTTATAAGATTCATTTTTATTAGAAGTCAGAGAATCTTATATTTTTTAAGATTATCTTTATATATCTTATCTGTGAAATTAATAAAGAGAATTATTAATTTCAGTATTCTACTCTTAATATTATATAAGTAATAGCAGAGTTCACTCTGATCACACTTTTTAAGTGTATATTTTCTAAATATTCATATTTATACAGATATATACTGATTATTTATTAGATAATATTAAGATAATAACTTATTATAGTCATATTACTCTTACTATGAGAAATATATAATTAATAATAAATATTATAAAAACTACTGCAGCTCTGTGATCTTGATTTTTTTTATTTTTATTTTTTATTTGTTTATTTTTCTTTTATTTTTTTTTTCTTTCTCTTTTTTTTATTCTGATTTTTTCCTGTTTTTATTTTATTTTTTATTTTTTATTTTTTTTTTATATTTTATATTTTTTTTATAATTAAAATTATATAAATTATAATCTATATTTAGAAAAGTAATGATATTTAATAATACTCTCTATTAAATTTTCAATAAATGAGTACTATATTATGATATTATATAAGTGAGAAGTAATTTTATAATCTCATTTAATATTATTCTCAATAATGAAATCAGAATGAAAATATGACTAAGAATTCAAATATATTCTTTATTCAGAACTAGATTTTTATTTGAAAAGTGAATCTGAAATCTTTAATATTTAAAATAATGTGATTTGAGATCAATGTGATGAACACAAACCATGATCAGAAGTAATGCTTTTAGGCAACATGACAACTGTAAAGTTTGGTCCTGGTCTCAGACACGGTCACACGGTCAGTCTACAGACAGTCATATAATCAGTCTACTTATCACACATACAATCTCTCTTCTTCTGCTCTTGTAACTAATATTGCTGAAGATAACTAAGAAATAAAAACTGTTGTCACTCTAGTCTGTATAGTCTGCTTGTATAATAATATTCTCATGTCAACAGTTGAGTCATACTATGAAGTTGAGGCCGTTCTTTTTGAGTGGGGCAGCCCCTTCAATTGGGAAATGTGCTCATGGTAGATTATCGAGCATGTAAAGCCATTTCCTCTCCTGAAAAGGGGTATTTAAAATGTGTAAAGCTGTTCCTAGGGTATACTAATCTGTATGTGTTTACGATTGAATGTTATTGTGATGTGTGTGCAGGAAAGCAAAGCCAAACCCCCCGCGCTTTGGTAAAACGACCGTACCACCCAAGACGCCCCTCCCCATATTCGCTAGCGCTATAAAGAGAAAGGAAAAAGTATAGATATATAAAAAAACGAGTGTAACAATGATAAAAGGGCCTTTGGCGGTCCCGCTTCAGATCAAAGATCAAGCCAAAGATCAGACTCTATAGGTTGATGAAGATTCCCTTCCGCCAACCGCCCATATCGAGGATCATCATCCAGGACAACATCCTCCGCGAAAGCAACTTTGGCACTCCTCCGTCCTCTCGACGCTGTCTTGTTTCTAGGGTGATGAGGATGTGTTATGGTTGTTGTTAATTTCCTTGCTGGATATTTCTCAACAGCCCGAGTTTTCCGTGCGAGGAAATTCCTTGTCCGGTTATCCCTGACACGCCTCCACCAGCGGATAATAACCCCTTTTGCCCATATTACCCTATTTCTCTCCTGAACAACCGCCATGCATTCCGTTGCAACCTTTGCAGCGACGAGGCGTTGTTGAAGTTGGCGTTGGGCAAGTGTTCGTCTCCAGGCTGTCTGTAGAACAATTGCTGCCCGGACCCTTTTTGAGGCGGGTAGAAGCCTGCTGCAAAGAAAAGCGAGAGCTGCGAGGGTGAAATCTCGATCAAAAAAGTGAGATGAGGATGCGCAAGAGGGAGATGAAGGTGCTGGAGCCACAAGGGAGGCTGAGGTTTCGAAACATATATTAGCTTATTCATATCTTTTTTCGGAGATGATAAAACGAAGGAGCTTCATGCTTACCGAATTGACTGCTACAACCCAAAGACCGAAGTCTCATGTCCAAACTAGTTGAGCAGCTTAATCTCTTCTCCTCCCCAACAATAAAGCTTTCGTACTCATCGACGATGATCGCGAAAATGCGCCCGTCAGCAAAGCTCGTTGTTAAGTTATCGAGTCGAATACCCCTAAGTCGTGCAACACACGATGCCCATCTCTTGAGAAGGAACGAATACCTCTCATAACCTGCATCAAAATCTTCTTCTTCTTCTTCTTCTTCTTCTAGTTCTTCATCACGATCTCCAAATTCGTGTCCACCTCGGCTACTTTCCCAAGTTGCTTCTTTCTTTTTTTCCAGGCGTCGAATTTCTTTTCTAACATCGTCCCAGTCCACCAAACCAGACAGCCCCCATTTCCCAACAAGGCCCCAGAGCAGCGCTATGGTTTTTTCTCGGTATCCATCAACGATATCCTCCGCACGGATATCTTTGACTATGATACCAATGCCCTGAAGGCCTGATAGAGCGCTTAGTGCGATTTGCACGTTGAATAGTTTCGTCGCCCGACCAATGCAGGGCAGCCTTAAATGCTGAGAAAGTATCCAGTCTTCTTCTCCTTCTAATAGAGATATAACTTCCCCAGTTGGCATGGTAAGTGTACTCGTGGCATCAAGGTCACGTTGCTGGGAGAGTAGAGCCGATGCAGACGGGTATAGAAGTAGCTCTACTAACCTCGTAAGAAGTATGCCATCTCGAAGATCCACAGCAAGATTATTAATGCGATAATCGTATTCTTGTAGAGGGTGTTGTTTGTAGACTACCTGGCAGTCAAGGTGACTTAGTGGCCGGATAATGTCGCCAACAGACGGAAGCAGCATGTTCCCCAGCCCCTGGAGGACAGCTGCTGATGACTTATACTTTGACGACGGAGTAAACAAACATCGCGGCAATGTAGTTTCTGAACTAGACCTTGCCCTATCGAGGAGCACAATTATCATAATACTGCGCAAAAGAGTTCTTCGGTAAGACCAACGCGGCGTACCGGCATCCTCACCACTTATACCAGCAGCAGTACCAACGCCAACATCTTCATTTCGTAGAATAAACGTTTCCAAAAATGACTCTATCGTACGACGGAATTGTCTGTCTCCCCTTGGCGAAGCGGAAATTGTGGAATTGCTGGGTCTACTCGGTCGATTTGGAACGGGTATCCTTCGACCTATTACTGTTTCCGCAGCGGCTCGAAGCGCAGAAAGGTCATAAGTTTCCATCCAAAAATTGAGGAAGGCGCGTTTTCGTCCGATATCCTCTTTCAAACCATTTGCACGAGCCAAAACATCCTTAGGTACCCCCAACGCCCCATATTCGATAGATGCGTGAACTCGTTTATATAGGAGGGAGAAAGAGGGTTCTTGGTAGATCCCCAAAAGTTCGTGTCTAAGGGCGTCACTATCATGTTGGCCTGAGTTTTCTCGTGCAGAGTCAAAGAGACCATTCACAAGTTGGGTGATTGCCGCCTCTTGATGTGCAAGCCAACTCTCTTCATACATAGCGGGATTAGATATGTCTTCAGTTAATAGAGGGTATTTCTGATCGATCGTCAACGGAGGAACGCTGGGAACCGTAAGTTTCGTTGGAGGTCCTTTTGGTACTGGAGGCTTTCTTATCGTTGGCGGCTTAGGGGCAGGTGGAGAGAGCTGTGGCCCTGTGCCCTGGCTCCGGCGAGCCTTCAAGGTAACCTTGGGGTTGGAGGCGCTTTTTTCTCGCAGGCTTGCCTTTGAATTCACGGCCACGTTTGGTTTATTGCCGAGTATCTTCCTGTCAGTGGGTTGAGAATTTCGCCGCGTTTCAGGCTTCGTCCTCGCCGTTGGCTTAACAGTCGGTGTAGATCTTTTGACAGGCTCCACGGTACATATGCTCTTCCTTTTTTCAGTACGTGGCACATCAAAAACAGGGAAATCTATTCCTTTAGATTTCTTATATTTGTCGCCAGGAACAATTAATCCACCTGGAGGTATATTTTCCTTTCCACCGTTCTGACCTGCTATATCATGTTTGACACTAGACTCCTGCATCGGTTTTAATGAAGGCTGAAGGGGTGCACGTCGGGGAGCGACAGCGAATGACTTCCTTCCCGGCCGTTTTCGAGAAATCTTGGATTCCAAGCTGTCTATGTCAGAATGCCCAACTGCGTTGTCCTTTTCCTCAGAAGGATTTAGAGTTTTGACTGGACTGAATATGCCCATGAAAACGGAGGGAATGGTAGTGTCTTCCGGAGGGATGTAAATGGTTCTTCTCCTAATTGCCTTCTTCAGAGGGTCATCAGTCGCAGCTGTTGGCTGCTCCTCTTTCAGCTTCCCAATGCGCCTATTTATAACAGGGGATTTCTGAGGTTGTGGAGGGTTCTGTCGTTGCACAGTGGGCTTGTCAAGCTTAGCTGATGCTACATCGGCGAAGCTAACCCTAGGCCGTTGGAATCTTTGGGCTGGTTGTGACAACATCGACGAGCTTTTACTTATAGGTTTAACCCTTGTACGCTGGCTTGGTTCGGTTTGCTTGCCCTGCCCAAGCCCCAAGTTATCAAGCCCATCTTCGTGAATATCAAATGCTTTTGCCTTTCCCCCCTTTCTCGGTTTAACTCTTGTCAATGGGGCACGGAAGTCAGTAGTAAAGTCGATTGCGGCAGTATCATCATCATAAAGTCCAAGCTCATCATCGAGGTCATAAATATTCCGGCTGCTACTCAAGGGCGATTTGCTGCCTCGTTTCCATTCTGTAGGGCAGGGTGTCCCTATATCACCGTAACCCCTCGACATCTTCTAGGGTATCAAGAATGGCGGTCTCGCAACACGTTGAATTCTAAAAGTTCTGAGCAATGAATGAAAGTAGCAACTGTCACAATTTTTGGGCCTTACCTTCAGGCAATACTTCACTAGGGGCATGGGAGCATCTTAAAACGATGCTCATAGGGAACGTGTGAGATTTTCACATGAAGAGGGTTGAAATCTTTATGTAAATTGTTGATAACGAATGTTTTCCTTGAGCTAAATCATTTTCGAGACGTGACGAAGCTCTTGATGTCCCTCACCACAATATAACATCTTGAAGATGTTTACAGATTACAAGGAGCGGGTTTGGTTGCTGGGGCAACTGTTCGTTCTGGGAAGCGCCAAGCCCTCCCGGTTCGGACCGAAACTCAAAATCGACGGGATCCCAGACTCGACTTATCTGATTTAACTACGGAGTACTCCATTATAGAATTGCTTACTTCCTCAAATGGCATACATGTAGGTGTTACCTAGGTGCCGCATGAGAATTAAATCCCATAGGGTACTTTGAAAACTGTACGAAAGACATAATATTTTGGCACATTCCTGAGGATACAGTTTCTATGAACAAAATAAGTGGGCTCGACCTTGAGCGAGAGACCGGATTTGAGAAGCTGGCTGCTTTCGGATATAGCTGCTAAGGTTTTAATTTACATATTTACTGGAATACCTGACTGAGAGTATATACACACATACATATTGTATGTGCACATATACATTGGTGATATCCTTCTAAAAGAGAATTCTGAACTATCAGAAATCTGGGTGTGTGTGCTTGCTGATCAGGCTAGCTCCATTCTCCTCCTAAGTATCATTATATGGCATAACTAGGGAAGCAGATGCTTGCTCTTCCTAACACACAAAGACTGAACCTGACAGGCTTAAGTAGTGTATGATGATGCCTCATGAGCACGGAGAAGGCAATGGAACGTGCGCTTCCTTCAAACGGTAAGAAGAGCTGAGCACCTTGATTTAGCCTCCGTAGAGTAGAGTTGTACCAAACTGTGGCTTCCTTCCGTCTTGGTATTTTCATCTGAAATCAATCTTACGTTCCTAAGATCCGGCCGTACTGACCAATGTGTACCTATTAGATCGGCAGGCGGAGGATGCGGGAAAAGGTTATAGCTGGATGCTTCGCCTTTGAGACATGAAGGCTAGGAGAGCACAGAACGCGGCTTCCTCGTAGGCCCTAGAGAGCAAGCACAGGAAGGCTAAATATTTGCGAGACAAGGAGAGGATGTCAATTAGGCTTTCATTTTGCAGTTTGTATGCCTCGTCGGGTATTAGGGATATGTAGTAATGCAAAATGAGCCACCAGACGTTTTCTACTTGGAAGATCGAACAGGATCAATGGGTTGGATAACAGTGTACCTAATCATTGCAGCCTTTGACTGAGCATCCATAGGTGGAGTGCTGACTGCTGCATTTGTGTTGGTAACGCAACAATTTCGGAATGAACGAAAAGTTGACCGAAGTAAAGCAGGCATCGAGAAGGTTACAAGCGTTGTAACACGTGGCAATTGCTGTAAAATGCCCAGGTCCCACGAATGTTTTTTTCGCCCATGCATGTTGATACCAATCTCCAGCTAATCTCCCGTGTTGCAACTGTGGTGGAGATGGGTCGTCAATTTAGCCAATCCTAGCACGACCAATAAGTTTGCTCGACACGAGGTGTCTGACTTCAGTAACTGCCAAAGAACGCGGTTTAATTCAGAAACCACACCGGCAGTTAACTAACTTGCGTAAAATAAAGATGGAGCGGGTGTTTAGCCGCTCGACAATCCATCCTCGTAGAAACGATAGCAGGGGTATGTTTCAATATTGCGCAGACAATGGTAGCACGTTGGATAGGAATGATTATAATCCTGCAGGTACCCATGAACCATGCGTTTAGCTGCGCATACGATGATGCCAGCAGAGAGGACGAATCGTTGCGTGGAGTGTTGTAGGTAGAATGAATATGCAGCCTGTGGGCCGTGGTGCCCGCAAGTGGTTCAGGCACATTGAGCCAAAGAACATAGCGCGTTGCTTCTCTGCAAGCAGTATTTTCGAGTGCGGCCAAAGCCTGAAGCCAGGAACGGAGACAAACCGTTTCCAGCAGCCAGAAGGGTAGAGTAGGGTAGGGGTTAATGATTCATGCCTGGTGGTGTGGCCGGCAAAGGCCTAAAAGGAAGGGGAACTTCGATGTTGCCGCTCTCTGTCCAGGCGGTTTTTATCGGTCAGCCTATTTAGCGCGGTCAGGTGGCCCCGGCAGTAAACCCCCCTATGTCTCGTTCTGGCGCGCATACTGCCCTCAACTCCAGATCGCCCTGTTGAAAGAGGGTTATTTCGGTGCAGGCAAAACAACAGAAGAGTCATGGTACATGCGATCTCGTAGCACTCACGGTTTGGACTACTATCAATCTTCTTTCCGTCGCACTATATTAACCCCATTCGCTTTGTTCCTAGAGCGCCATTTTGCCTTCTAGCTCACCTTTCAATCGCCGCCTCTGCCCTTGCTCATAAAGGCCCCACGAACCATGCCCTTCCGCCATGGAGGCGCTGGTTTATGAAGACTCACCATTAGCTGACTACCTGGAGGGTATGTCCTTGAGTATTTTATCCTGCCATGGATTTGCCGCACGCTGCTGACTCGGGGACTCTTACAGGCGAGGGAGTAGCACAGCAAGACTGGGCACCTCAACATGAAGAGCACCACCCAACTCAAACGCCTCTAGATTCGTTGACAGCGAATTTCGCTCCTCGAGGGCCCCCTACATTTCAAGACCGAATACGAAATAAACTGCCTGCACCGTTACAATTGAAACCCATGGGCCAGCAAGAAACTCTAGCCAAGATCCATAATGCCTGCAAAGTACGGGGGAAACAATGCCGCGCACGCATCCTCTGGGGGACTACGTCTTGCTGACTTTTCTCTTTTTTAAACGCATCAGGCAGCGATTAGCACGAAAATAGGGAAGAGCGAGAACGAGCGGTTTCTTGAACAGTTTGGATACACGATTGTTGCCTCCCAGCTCCTCAACGAGCAAAGCGCACCGTCGTACAGCACCGTGTCGGGATTACTATCGAATACAACTCATAATGCTGATCTGCCAGGCACACGAGCAGCAAGTTTTGGTTTAAGAGGGGCTATATTCACAGCCGGGGCATCGTTTTCCGTGGTTTGGATACTCCACTGGGCTAGATCTCGCCAGGGCTCCGGTTGGGATTTCCGGCGGGTCTGTATCCTTATCATTCTTCTTCTGGCAGTCGCGACAGCATTCTACGCTTTCGCTAAGCGTCAGTGGTTGAAATACCTTCGTCGCCAGGCCGTGGATGTTGCATCTGTTCTCGTCACCAACGCACAGTCTTTTGATTCTGCGGCATCGGCTTCGGTTGTCTTGATACAGGAGGTGGAACTGGTCTCCAGAGGATATAGAATGTTCGTTATTAAATATCCAAATATACTTCCTAACGAACCGAATTTACCCTAACAATTCACACAGAAGCACCCCTATGCCTCCAATAACCCGGTTGGAAGAGCAAACACAAACACGACGCTGTTTGAGACTCCGGCGCATTCTTTCAGAGTGCCTTTCGGAGATGCTAGAGAAATATTTGGATGCAAAACGACATCTACGATCACTTACAGATACTGCTAATTTAGAAAAATATTACGACATATATGATTTCTCGCCAGAGGAACTTGAGGAACCCAAGTCTCTGTCAACTGACAGTCCATTGGAAGACAAGACCTCATTACGATCTCTTAGACACTTGTTTTCGAGAGCTTACGCCGCTAGAAAAGGCACATTATGCTGCTTGCTAGCGCTACCGGCGGAGGGCGGGGAAGCCGATATTGCATATTGGAGTACTGCTATTGAGGAGATGCAACGCCTCGCTGTTACAAATGGAGCTTGCGTACAAAGACTGGCAGCAATACTCAACGAGCAAGACTGTAAGTGCGACTGGCTTGATGTACTAAGCGGGATACACGTACTAAATTGGCCTAGACAATATAATACCACCCTCCCCCCAATCCAAGCTTACCCCAAATAAAGACCGTCATCGTGCGCAACTTAGGCGACTCAATTCTCTGTCCCAAGGCATCCGTGGGATACATGCCAAAATGCAACTTATTCGCGAGGAATCTGATGCCAGCCTTGAGCGAGCAACGGATGATGTAGATTTTGGTACAACACTGGCAACTCTCTACCAATCTATCGGGACGGATTTAAGGGGATTATTACAAGAGTGGGAAGCTGGAAGATCTTCCTTATTAGCCACTATGGAAAATCCCGATCGTCTCTCGCGGCCCACAAGTCTACTACGGACGCCAGCATCTCCAACGTTTAGCCTAGGTGGCGTGACTGCAGTTGAAGGGGGCCCTGCGGAGGCTCTTCGAGCATTGAATGGCGAGGACCAGCACCTCGCAAGCCCAGATAACAACATGGATGACGATGAAGTTTTTGAAGCAATTGCCCTGCCCCGGAAACGTAGCTCCATGACAAGAGATGAAAGAATAGCCCGAATGAAAGAAGAGCGGGTTAGACAAGCCGTGGCACGAGAGAAATCGGACGCAAATACACACATGTTGAGAGAGCTAGAAACAGTTATTAGACTACGTCCGCGCGGGAAAACAGGGCCACGGATTACCAGCATCTGAATGATGTAATAGGTTTTTCCTCCTTCCTATCTTCCTTTCTTCCTGCCCTTCTTCTACTTCTTTTTTTATTTTATTCTATTTTTATTTTTATTTTTATTTTTATTTTTTTATTTTACTAAGTTTAAAGATGAGCCTGGACTGCCCATCTGTACACTACCGTTATTATGAGCATTCCGATCATATTTTCTTCCATCTGTGGGGAGATATTTGGAACTATCTGGTTGTTTCCACCAGTCCCAGCCACGTGTTTGATACCCTATATTCAGCGGTGACCGGAGTCATGCGATGACATTGAATTTTGATTTGGGTTCTCGCTATCTACGTTATCATTTATTCGGCATATCTTGAACGGAGTTTCTTCCTATATGGTTCTTTTTCTGTTATTGTTCCCAAGCCAGCGCTTGAAATTTGGTCGACTCGAATGATTTCTAGATAATGTATTTTCCCCCAATTTATTTTTGAATTTTGTACCTATAGATATTTTTGTTAAGATACTACTTATATTCGATATCCAAAGGGATTGACCCCAGCATCATAATGCCTTTCGCAGATTCTGCGCGTGCATCTAGGTACCTTTCTTTATAATAGGGATGGAGGATGCATGCAAAGGCTGGGTCTAAAATGTAACTACGCTAACGCGAAACCGGCAAAATTACGTGATGCCCGCATCCACGCGATTTCGTGTCTGCACGCGACGGCGCTTCACCACTTCACAAACTTCAATCCTCAACTCAAGACACTTTCCCATCCCCCGACAAACTGCTTGACACTCACTACATCCAATTCGGACACATTTATACCAGTGTAAGTCTTCTCATATGCTTAACATTGACTGCCATTTCAGTGCTGACAATTTTAATATCTTATCAGAATTTACTACGTCCTCAATTACTACCCCGCCAGACGCTTTCACCATCACCTCCGTTTTTTTTTTCTATTTGATCTCCTAGACCTCAATTGACAAGAGTGCGTAATCTAATTCTAATAGCTACTAAATCTGGCCTGGGATTGATAATGACGTGAAACAGTGTTGGAAGCACGGCTAGAACAAGCCAGTTTGTTGAAGAAGGTAGGCAGGCAGGCACCCACCACAACACGCTACTCCTGTCCACCCACCGATCTCACAATACGACCAAACGCAATATAAAAACTGACAACTTCTTTTACAAAACCACAACAGGTTGTTGATGCCATCAAAGACCTAGTGCAGGACTGCAACTTCGACTGCAATGACTCAGGAATCGCCCTCCAAGCCATGGATAACTCCCACGTGGCACTGGTCTCTATGATGCTGAAAGCAGAAGGCTTTTCCCCCTACCGCTGCGACCGCAACGTCGCGCTGGGAATTAACCTGGTCTCTCTCACAAAGGTTCTGCGAGCTGCACAAAACGAAGACATTTTGACGTTAAAGGCAGAGGATTCCCCAGACGTCATTAACCTCGTCTTTGAGAGCGCGCAGACGGACCGGCTGAGCGAGTATGATATCAAGCTTATGGATATTGACCAGGAGCACCTGGCGATTCCGGACACAGAGTATGCGGCTACAGTTGACATGCCGTCGACGGAGTTCAGGAGGATTTGTACGGATTTGGGAAACTTGTCGGAGTCTGGTATGTTAACTGATATTTTCGGCCCTTTAAAAGTGAAAATAGATCTGCTCAACCCGGCATAATCGACATCCCTATCTGTATTTTGCTTTTTGGTTTTAAATGGAAGAAATATCCGACCTAACAACACCGGAACAGTAATGATCGAAGCCAACAAGGATGGTGTTAAATTCTCCTGCCAAGGCGAGATTGGCAACGGCGCCATCACCCTCCGCCAACACACCAACGTCGATAATCCAGACCAGAACGTTTCCATCGCCCTCTCAGAGCCCGTCTCCCTCACCTTCTCCCTTAAATATCTTATGCACTTCTGCAAGGCTACAGGCCTGTCGACGTCCGTTCGTCTGTGTCTCTCACAGGAAGTGCCGCTCCTAGTCGAGTACGGATTGGGCAGTGGCCATCTGAGATTCTTCCTTGCGCCAAAGGTATGTCGTATATACGTTACATTTTGCTCCTGGAAAGCAATGTTATTGCTTTTATGGAATTATTTTTGTCCCCTCTCAAACTTCTGAGACCTGTTCTAATATATTTTGCACTGCAGATCGGAGACGAAGAGTGAAGTGGAAAAAGAGAGAAATAGGGAAAAACAAAACAGAAGGTACAAAAGATTTTCCAACCCTTCTCAACAATGAAGCATGTTCTTCCCCCTGATGCGCCCCTTCCCCACCATGCCGACTGTAGTCGGTCAACCATGAATCCCTCCACAAGCTGTTTTCTATATCACGTCTTTCTTTCTCTTCTTTCATCGTTTCAATGGAAATAGGGAAACGATATAATTGAAGAATCATTTTACGAGTTTTAAAATAAACACGATTTAATGATATACCTAACCAACTCAACTTCCATTCCACGGTACTCCTTCAGTTTTCTTTCTAGTTTATTTATAGCATGGGATCGTCCCATCAGGTATATTAGCACGTTCAAAGATTCTTGTTCGTTGCGGTCAAAGGATTTGAGGTAATGTACATGTACATTCAACGCCTATGACTTTTTTGTTTTCTAAGGTAAGATTCCACAAAGTATGCAAATCAGTACCGTTGGACTAAGCGAAGAACACGGTGATACAATCCAGCGGCGTAGTATCTGAGACAATTAGCCCTGCATGCGCATGTTCGTTCATCTCCCCTCGAGATAAGAAGTAAGACAAAATAAAATAAAACCACCACAATTAGGAGTTAAATATCATCATTTCATTCGTTCACAGTAACTCCGGTTCTGGATTGGAAAGCACCAGCAGTTCCTGTAGACAGTCCACCACACCCCCGCGATTTTACAACACCAAAAACGACAACAACGCAGACGAACAAGCCCGACTCCGCCTCCAAATCCAACCCAACCTCCCTTCTCGCCCACACAATCGTCTCGCCAACCCCGTAAAGCCGCACAAATGGCGACGTGACCAACACTTCAGATATCTCGTCTACAATCTCCTACCCAATATTCCCAACCCGCCACAGAACATTGCTTCTAGCAGACAGGTGAATTAGCACAGCCCAGAAAATCATGATGAACAGCGCCAGGGGCTCGCGCTCCTGAAATGCCGCAGTCAGCTCCCGGCCCCCGACGGCGAGGATTGTGAAGAACAGAGCCTTGAACGGCGTATTATTTGCGACGCTCATGAATGTGTACTTTACCTGGTCGGAGGCGAGTTTGTAGGCTGGGATTTCGCGCATGCGAGTAGTAGCTTCTTATTGTTAATGGTGCCCCTACTTCCTTGGCGACTGTTGTCGCTGTTGTTACCTACCATGTCTAACAGTAGTGCCCCGGAGCGACTCTTCAGGCAGTCTCACTGGCACGTGCACACGTTTGACAAGGGACAGTAGGCCTTCAATGGCTAGCTGGGTGTCTGTCGATATCTAGCTTGTGAATCACCTCAGGAGGGATCGGGGGGAGAAAGTGTTTCACGATACGAGTCAGCGAGCAAGTGGACCAACTAGGCCAGTCGAGATTTGAACGGCCGACGTGGGACGAGCCTACGTATAGAGCCATGGATATGCCTAGGGTTTCGAGCGCGGATACCTAGTGCTTTTGGCCGGGGAACGAGAGATTATAAGAACGGCGGGAAAGGAGGCTAAGAACAAAAAATGAAAACAGCTTCCTCGTGTTGATATTTTAGTCGGGTTCGTTCAGGACCTCGCGGAATGCGACGTCGTCTCTGTTCGCGTACTCGAGCGCAGTGAGCTTGTATCGGTATCTGTCTCTCGTTAATGTTGTGGACTTATTGCTGGGGTCATGTCCATTCTTCGCTAGGTCGATGGCGCTGAGGGCGAAAAGGCTGTTGAGGAGATAGCTAGCTGTTCTTCATGGAAATGCGGGCGACGCCGCGTAATAGAACAGTATCGCAGCCGGGAGAGGTGAGATGGCTTGCCATGTCCGTGTCGACCAGCGGTGAAGAAGCTCTAGTTCTAGGAATCTGTTTGATGTAGGTATGCTTGAGGAAGTCAATGGAGAAGGGCTTGAGATTCCTGAGGACGCGCGGGACGCCGTCATCCAGGCCAGCGCTTGCCAAACTACCGAGCTGTTGTATGCTTAAACCGAGGACTAGGATGAGGATATTGGCGCTGTTTGGTCTTGGGAATTGGAAGATAAGACTGCATGCTGAAGAAGACTCCGTTCTCTGGGTGTGGCGTTACGTGCTTCGGCCACTACTGTTTCACTTGATGGATAGACACAGTGGAGATTCCGGATGCGACAGGTTGCGCACGCGGGCTTCTGCTCATTATTGCACTGCGAGTAGTTCAAGTTAGTATGGCCTGAAGGTTTTTCACCCCCCACCCCCATTACATTACCATAGAGTTGTGCGTCTCTTTTTGTACCTCAGTCCATATACCGAGATGTTGGTAGTTACCCTACCTTAACTCGTCTCTTTTTACAACTCGCACATCCCCAACAGGATTTTTGGGCTCCCCTCTTCGGCAACTTTTTTTCCATGATGGAAAAGAGTGCTTCTGTGTCTTTTTGTGGCCTTAGGCCGTGACCTGAGATGTTAGAAGTAAAGGGTGGGACGCCGAAAATAAAGGGGCTGCAAAGCCAAAAGTAGTAAACCCCGAATAAAAACTCGGGAATCGGGAAGCAGGAGTAGATGAAATAGAACTATGGACAGGATGGAACTTTTAATGCTGGGAGCCTATGATTGTATTATGGGACCGACCACTGCCAGGTTATGAAGCAGGGCGTTTCGGAAGCCAATAAGTGCTGTTGTAAATCGCAACATGGTTGACCCGCTGGAGAAAGCTTGTACAGATAGATGTCTCCGACAGACAGGCTAAACGTGACAGATATGAAAATCCGTAGTTAGAGGCGTCGTTGCAATCTCTGCTAGCTGAAGAGACTGGCGACTTTTTTTGAAATAAGCCTGACCATCTTGGTGCTGAGTCAAAGAACCAAAGATCGCATTATTCACGGATGAAACGGACCATGATGGGAGTATTAAGAACGCATTTGATAAATTTGGATAGTAGGATACACCAGGGCTAAGATAGGTAATATTTGCCACGGAGAGAACTTGAATTAAATCAGATATTTACATACCCTGACAAGGGTTCCCCAGTGATTCCCACTCGCCCAGCCAGGTAAGGTAGCCAACGGCAGCAATCCATGCATCATTTCCCAAGATCGAATGTAGCCATCTCCAAGAAGAGAGCAAAGAGGAACGAAGGGGACAAAAGAAGAAGCACTTCTGCCGTGGTATGTTTCGCATACCCGTCTAGGCTGTACCAAGAACTGCCCCCAACCCTCGCCAATAAGAACGTGAGAAAGAGGGCGAGGTGGCGTGCGGGGGGAAATCTTTTTGTCCGTTCGTTTCTTATAAGGAACCTTCAACACAACAAATGACATTATTAGCAGTATCCCTTCAAAGACAAAAATAAAATAAAACCACACTAAACCCTAACCCGGATGGTTTTCACAGATCTTCGCGGGAATGGTCAAATGTGTGATAAAAGAAGAAGAAAAACAACAACAACAACGAACCTTAAAAGAAAAAAGGATTGAAGCGTTGTCCCCACCAGAGTAATCGGAATCGAATTCATACCAGTCTCGATCCCATTCTAAAAATAAGAAAAAGATGAGAACCCAGTACGCTGCGTATTGCACTAAAGTGTCATACAACCCCCCTCCCTCAACCACTTAACCACCCACAGGGGAGGAAAAGCGGAGAGAGAAGGGAGGATGTACACACAATCTTCGCAACGGCTCTCCCATGGAGGGGGGGGAGGGAAGCTGGGGTTTCCCACGACCCTGGAACCCTGATCCCCTCCGAAGTTTCTGATGCCTGATTGCAGACGTGTGATAATTCTTGACGCCAGGCCCTCGCGGGCAGTACCGGCCCAACCCTCTTTTGCTGAGAGTTGAGCGGGTTGTGTGTTTGAAGATTACTCCGAATTTCTCATTTGCATGTGTGATTTTTTCTGATTGAGGATTGAGTTCAAATCAGAGACAGATAGCTAAGCTCTCTTCTTCCCTCTGAAGAGGGTGAGGAAAGAGATAGATCTGACGTGTGTAGCAAAGAAACGCAGCTTTGGTGAGGACGACGCTTGAAAGAGAAAAAAGAAGAAGAAGGAAGAGAAACAAACTTGATGCTTGGAGTAAAGTGCGGCTCTGTGCGGGACAACGCTAGGATGGATACGGTTAGTGCCCTCGATTTTGCTAGTATTTACTGTAAGGGAGCTTTCACCGTGACAAGCTCCTTACAGTAAACAATTACTTTTACGAGACGGATCAACTAACAAGAATTACGAAGCTCTCGAAGTATTAGCGAAAACGGTTTATTAGCAAATATTTTACCCAAGCTAAATACTAACTGTGCCATGCTTACTCACTCTCTGTAGAAAACCACATTGTAAAGAAAATATTTTGAATATAGTAATCTTCAAAAATTAATTAATAATCATTATCACATCTATCTATAACATAAAGATTATCTATATACTCATTAGAAGATGTAGAATTCACTGTAAGTTAAGATTCTATAGAATTATCTTATTATAATTAAGTAACTGTAAATTTTATGAATTTAATTTCAATTAATTGAAGAGTTTTATTAAATATCTTTTTTATCTTATCTACTCTATAGATTATAATCTTACAATTGACATTCTTAATAGTGAGAACTTCATCTACTTGTATCTATCTATAAGAGAATTTGATAATTTAATATCTATTTATTTAATAATAATCTGCAAGTTCATTCTCACAGTGTGTATTTAATTTCATCTGAATTATACTACTCTTGAAGATCTTATTCAACTGTCTTATTAAATCAGATATAAGAGTATTCTTCACATCTTCTAAGATCTTGACTGCTGTATTAATTTAATAATATAGTTTTATAATCATCTCTGAAGAGATTAATTATAAGAAGATAGTTAATAATTAATTTACAGATAGTAGAATAAAGTAATTATATATATTATTATTATTATTGTATATATTAAGATTCAGAGTATTATCAATGATAAGAGATCTTAATTAATTGAGAATTATATCATGATTAACTGAATATATTTTATAATCAGTAAAGTCAGCTCTTATAGTATTAGATTTAAATATTTACTGTCAGATACTTTTCAGATTAGTAAGAAATTATCTATTATTATACTACTTATATCTGTAGTAGATAGTCTCATTAACTATCTTTATATAATAATACTTATACTGCTGAAAAGATACATTATTAAGAGATTGTAAAATATAACTTATATAAGATAAGAATCTAAATAGAATAATTTTATAATAATTACAGTATTAAATAAATTCTTCTATGAAATTATCATTCAAAGGTCTGCTTCACCAGCGTATAATTACAGGCATACGCCGGCTTCTTATATATCATACACTAAATTAACTAGTGGCTGCTATGACCTCTTTTACATTTGTAAGTAAGTTTGAAAGTGACTGTGTTATTATCTGATAGTTATACATTCTTCTGAATCACATTCTCTCTCATCAGATTCAGTCACACTTATGTGATTGTAATATTCACTCTAGCTTCATGCAGATTAGTATATCACTAGTGTTTACAATCTTGTGATCTATCTCTGATTCAGCTAGCATTCTGTATATATTCTTATAAAGAAACTTTCACTATATTATATTACTTATTCACTAACTTTTCTCATTCTTCAATCATCTTCTTCATTATCATCATCATTGAATGCTACTATCTTATTCAAGATTTCTACTTCTTCTTCTATTCAACTCTTTTTATCTGTTCATCTATCACATTGTATGTGTTTCTGATAATGACTCTCTGTTCTTATAACAAGTATTCTTATAGTACTTATACTGAGTAGTTCATTAGCAGTAAGTGTAATACATTATGAAATATGATCAGAACTTGTTTATCTTCTAACAATTATTAGAATATACTATCATGAATGACACATCTTCTTTATCTTCTTATACATTCTCAACTGTTTTTCTTCTCAGTGAGTTTCTGATTGTGTTTTCTGACATAATTTTACATGAACACAGATGCTGATATATTTGTTTTTATTTATATAGAATCTTTATATATTGACAGATTTATATTTATCAATGATAGTGAACTCAATATTAAATCATTGATCAAGAACTTGAAGAATATAATAATAAAGAAATTACTTATATTATATATAATCAGATCTTCTGCATTCTTCTCTACTCTCTCTGTTTCTTTCTCTGCTGCTTCTCTCTCTCAATCTTCTATATCTGCCTCTGTGTCTGATTCTTCTACTTCTGTTACTTCTGCCTCTATATCTGATTCTCTCACTTTCACTATCTCTGCTCTCTCTGATTCTGCTGTCTCTGCTTTTATTATCAGCTCTCTCTGTTTCAAGAAGATGTTATATAGACTTAATGAATTATATTTCTCAGTATATACACTCTTATTCTTCTTACTGATCTCTAGAATGATTTATTATATAAAGACTGTGTATAACACAACTATCTAAAGCTTGACTGTGAACATCAATTATTACATTCATTTTAAATATTCATGATGAGACAATTATTTATTTATATTAGAGAATCACTTCTCTTCTCAATAGTGTTAAAATTATAAGTCTTTTTCTTTTTCATCTTTTCTTTCTGATACTGATTTTTCTATTCTTAGAGAAAATCATTATGAGTTTTATTGTGTATAAAGTCATGATATTCACAGATATCAAGAAACTTTTTACAACTGTAAAGTTCAACATTGTAGAGATATCTACTCTAATAAATTTCTTCAGAATGATAGATCTGTATTCATCTATTCTCTAATATCTGTCATCTGACTTCATAATGCAGGCAAAAGATATCTGTGTTTTTGAGAATGAGAATGCAGATGTCATACTCTTTTACACTCACAGATGTGAGACTTGTACATCTTGTCTGAGATGTTATTATAAGAATAAGCTGTTTGTACACTGTGTTCTGCTTTCTGCATTTCTCTGTATCTCTCTCTCTCTTTCTGAGAAGTCTCATGTGTGTTGTAATTACATATACAATTCTAAGATCAGTGAGTATTTGTTCAGTAATTATTACTTCTGCTTTTATAATTTCATATACTAACAATAGTTCTTAGTTGCTTCAGTGTCAGAGATCATTTTAATCAAAGATGATAACACTGCTGAGACTACTCTCTCTCACTCTCAAGCTTCTCTCATCACTTTCTCTCTCTTCTCTGCAGAGAAGGTTGTACATAGACTGGCCGTCAGAATCATGAATTTCGCATTTGATCTCATTTAATCTGATCTCATACATTTCTTGGCGTGAATCCTGCTGAGACTGGCTATTAAAAAAACATGTAAAGTGACTATATATCAGATCTTAAAATGAAATCATGACTAGACTGGCCGCCGGGACTATGAATTTCACATTTAGTCTCATTTGATCTGGTCCCATACATTTCTTGGCATGAATCCCGCTGGGACTGGCTATCAAAGAAATATGTAAAGTGACTATATATCAGATCTTAAAATGAAACCATGACTTGAAAAAAATGAGAAAGTGATCTCATTTAATCCCATTTAGTTTCATTCTTGGCATAAAGTTACTATTTTTAGACATTTTAAGGTTTTTTTTAGACTATTTTTAATTTTTTAAAAAGTAACACTTTTTGGTAACACTCAAATGAGATTTAAAGTCATTTAAAGCAATAAAAATAATTTAAATTGAGAAGTGGAAATCATGATCTCATTTGAAAAATATGATAAGAGTAGACAGTAAGTCTCACTGAGACAGTATGAAACTACTATCTAATGTTAAAACCGTGTAATGAGATCAGTCAAATTGGTAATGAGACTATCAAAAAATCTGATCCTGGTCTCAGACACGGTCACACGGTCAGTCTAATTATAACTTGGAAAAAATGAGAAACTAATCTCATTTAATCTTATTTAGTTCCATTCTTGATATAAAGTTACTATTTTTAGACATTTTAAGGTTTTTTTTAGACTATTTTTAATTTTTTACAAAGTAATGCTTTTTGATAATGCTCAAATGAGATTTAAAGTCATTTAAAGCAATAAAAATAATTTAAATTGAGAAGTGAAAATCATAATCTCATTTGAAAAATGTAATAAGAGTAGATAGTAAGTCTCACTGAGACAGTATAAGACTACTATCTAATGTTAAAACCATGTAATGAGATTAGTTGAATTGATAATAAGACTATCAAAAAATCTGGTTCTGATCTCAGACACTGTCACACGGTCAGTCTAGTTGTACACATATCAGATTATAAGTATTCAGCTCTGAGTGACTCTTATTATTATTTATTCAGTTCTGCATCTTCTTCTTCTTCTGTTTCTTCTGTCTCTGTTTCTTCTGCTCTGACTTCTGATTCTGCAGATTCTGCACTCTTCTTCAATTTT